TAAACAGCAACATTTAGTACTTTAGAAGTGAAGTGGATGAATAGGCATGGTCATAGAATGAGTTGTTTTGCTTAGTTGGAATGAAGAATATCTTATGAAACCATTTTATGGGAAGTAAATAGTATGTGATGTTAGTCCTTACAGAAGACTTTTTTAAATAGAAAGACAAAAGGTGTGTTTGGAAAAAGCATTTTATAAAACATTTGACTCAAGTTTAATTTCTGTACTAGATTTATGGTCAAGGTGCTGGGCTAAGACATAATACGTGGCTTGAGCTTTGCCTTTGTATTGTTTGCACAAGTAATTTCAAGTAGTTTACCCAGCAGTAATATCTCACTGAAAGGGAAGTAAAATATTTTTTCCCCATTATCTGAAGATACAGGGATTAATCAATAAATAAAATTTATCTCTGTTTGATAGTCATGGTGAGATTAAAACCATAGTCGTTAACTTTCTGGATCAAGAATGGCACTGTAACACTGTGAAAAAATGACCAAAACTCCATATACCCTACACATTTCTAAAGAAGTGTGAGAAACTACCATTACTACAGACCTTGTCATCTAGCAGTGCACATGCCCCATCAGAGTAATGCTGGGTTAGCTGCTAGTTTGTACAACTGAGATTTAAAGTCTTTACAGAAAATGCATGTCTTCACTGGAGGATGAACTGCTGTCATTTCTTTGGGTAACAGCATTTGGCCACATGGACATTCAAAAAGCATTAGGGAAGCTGGGGCAGACCTCTCTGAATTTGCTCCATGCTATTTTGTTTATGGATGTTTTCACTTTTAGAAAATGCCTGCTGTTTAGCACACACAAGATGATTTATTTGCAGCTAATCAACAAGTTTTTAAATTACACAATTAAAAAATGAGAGATTTGAACCCTTTTCATTAGCATTTTAAGTGTATGGTTTTGTAAACTGAGAAGATTTAAGTCATTTTTGTCAACATGCAGAGAAGTGGATCACATAGGGGTCTCCAGTGCTGCACAGAAAAGGAGTAAAGGGTGATCAGATGTTCCTCCTATTTCTTCGCCACAGGCCTGAGATAGCTGATGGGACACTAAACCAGAAGCTGCAGAGTTGTATGAACGTGGGCATCTCCCAGCTCTCCTCCCTGTGCAGTGCTGCAGTGGGACAGCTGCACTACTTCTGAGATTCCAGTTGTCATCTCTGCAGAAATGGTGCCATGTTTGCATGCCAACGCCTCCAGAGCTAGCTCAGGGATTTCTAGCACACCTTTGTATTGCAAGCTATAGTCATACCTAAACTTTCACAGTATCACAGAATCCTTTAGGTTGGAAAAGACCGTTTAAGATCATCAAATTCAGCCAAAAACTGAGCACTGTCAAGTCTACCCCTAAACCATATCACTAAGCACCCTGTCTACACATCTTTACCTCCAGGGATGGTGACTCAACCACCTCCCAGGGCAGCCTGTTCCAATGCTTCACAATCCCTTCAGTGAAGAGATTTTTCCTAATATCCAATCTAAACCTCCTCTGGCACAGCTTGAGGCTATTTCCTCTCATCCCATCACTTGTTACTTGGCAGAAGAGACTGACACCACCTTTCTGATTCAACTAAGCCATAGTTGACTAGTGAAATTTGGTTGTCCTGGCAATGAAAATGAAGCTTATTAATGATGTAAGAAATATTAAGCAGATAATATTTTTTCCCAAAGCTGGTGGCCCCATCTAAACCCCATCTGAGTCTGGCTCTGTGGCACCAATGCCTATAAGAGCATGCCACCATGGCAGACAGGCATGTCCACTATAGCACATCACACTCCTTATACATTCCCATCCAAATTCAATCATTCCACTCCAGTTTATCTGGAAACACTAGAAACCTTTGTGGAATGACAAAAATGAACCTGTATCTCCTGAATGGCAGGCTACCATCCAGACCACTAGTTCATCCAATCCAGGATCTGTCCCAAGATGTCAAGGTGAGACTTTCTTCCAGGAGACAAGCTCTACCTCACCCCCATGTTTCTTTCTTCCCTTCTCTCTGGGGCAAGGAAGAGCAATTCCCAGAAAAGATTCTTCCCAGAGATTTTCACATGACAATTTCCATACCATGGGAGACGAGAGATGACTCTCATGATATTTCACTTAGAGAGTCCATTTTATTCAACAGATATTTTGTGCATTTCGGCTTTTTTCTTCAAATCAATCTTAAAGTAATTGAAAGAAAAATGGATTCTGACTCTGAAAAGAATATTGATGAGGATGAAGGTAATCTTCAGAATACAGCTTTTTAGGTTTACCATTTAATAAATTGAACACGTCTTCTCAAAGTAGATTATTTTAGCTACTTGTGCAGGCAATCTTTACTTGAAAATGGGAATGCATCATATTACAACCTTGTAGCTTTTGTCTTTTAAATTGGAATAACACTTCTTCCTGAAGAAGCCAGAAAGCATGATGGTGTGTTTGCAGTAGTGTCTTACATGACTTTGGAAATTTATTGTCAAGTTCTTTTTCATTAAATGCAACCACAAATATATATATTTTAAGATTTACTTAAAGCTATGGGTTAAACTATCATTAAATTTTTTCTCTTCTATAAAACAAAATACCTTGCCATTATTTTTGAGCACCAGTTATGCGTCACAGTTCTTGTGACTTTAATCAATTAATGATGAAGAACGAAAACACAGTTTATTTGATGCAAGACATCTGATCAGCTTCAAATATATTTTGAAAGGCCTGGGGTTCTGATTTTCAGTCTTGCATTAATCACCATATCCCTTCTCTACTGTGTCTTCAGACATGCATGTACTATAATATTGTGACAGATGATGCTCCTGTATTCTATTGCCTCAGAAGTCACTGCAGTGTATAGTAAAATGTACCTTCACAGTGGAGAGGAGAGATGTTCTCAGGCTGTTTTTCCATTACAAAACACAATCTCACCAGTTTGTCTGCCATTTTGTGTTTCCTTCTCAGAAGGGGAGAACATTTCCTGTTGACAGACTAGGGTGTGAATTACTGCTTTAGCTTGTGAAACATGCAGTTGGGGACTGGGGTTGATTCTGCCAGAGAAGTGGATGCACAGTACCTTAATGAGGGTGGGATCAGCAGGTCCCATGCAGTCCCCAAAGCAACCCAGAGCCTTGATAGAATCTAATATAGCTTCACAGTTTGTCAGTGTGATAGGAAAACAGTATCTTTTAATAAGTTACTCTTTCAAGGAAGTGGTTGAAGAAATGCTTCTATATATTGGCAATTTATAGGTTATAATAATGCCAGTGTATTTCCTGACAGTTGCAGGATGAGTAAAACGACCAAGTAGAACAAAAATGCAAATATTTTCTTATTTTTTTCAGTAGCTGGGAAGCAAGCCTGGAAAGTGTTAGTGAATGGCTCATACTTCTTTTTGAAGAATGTTTTGTGAGGTCTTGCAGTGCAATCTGCACCAGATAACACTGATCCGTAGGGATTACTCATACATTTTACACATATGAGAAAGCTATTAACATCTCCATGGCACAGCATCCAGAGTGTTTCATGTGAAAAATGCTGAAATCATAATGTTTTAAAATGTAAGCGTTCATCAAACTGCTATTTAAAAACAAGTTTTAATATATGAAATTGGAAAACATCATGCTCTATGTCAGTCTTTTTAACAGCCATCACAAAAAACATAGCAGCACTGAAGGAATAAAATACATGTAGCTTTAAAATTGTTCAGTTCCTGTGGTGTAGTGTACTGTACTGTAGTGTAGTGTAGTGAAACACACTGATTTGACTGTGTACTGACATTTCCATTCCAAATTACTTTGTATTTTATCTTGGTAGAAAAATTGTGCAGTGGAATGAAATGTGAAAATACCTGTTAGCATTTTGAAATGGGGCAAGGTCCTTGAGTATATGTTTGTTTTTCAAGTTGTAATTCCCTTAAAAATATAAATCCTCAGTCTTAATTTTTTTATGAATAATCAATGTTATCAAACAATCATTTAAAATTATAACAAGTTTTACAATTATTTGATGTGGAGGTGTGTTCTCCATGTTTAGTTCATTTTACTGCAAAAGCTAAAATCTGAGGATTCTTTGCAGATAGGTAATAAATACACTACTACTATCTCATCTAAAAAAACAGATTTAAGATCACTTATATATTTTTTTCCACATTTTAGTTACTTTATGTTTTATTGCCATTATCTCAGTGACTTTTGTATCAGACAATAAAAAATACATTTTGCAAAAAAAAATCCTGGGATAAAGTGGGTAAAAAAAAAAAGAAAAGCATGTATCCCCTAAGTAGATATGTCAGAACCAACAGCTCCTACTACTGCCTAACATTTATTTTTTTTTTTACCTAATCTGTATAGATTATCTCTTAAAATATGCTTAGAATGGACTTTGAATTTGTGAATAATTTCCAAATTCGATTGGTTTTAATTACAAAGCTTGTTTGGTTTGCTCAGTAAAATGTGGCTTTGTTCAGTCAGAAGGTACATGCAGTCCTGCAGGACTATGCATGTTTTTTAAGTATTCCTGCTTAGGATCACCAGACACCATCAGCAGTTCCGCGTGAGATCTTTTCATCATGAACTGTGCATTACAAAGTATCCTGTGTGAGCAAAAGTCAGTTTTCATTAGCTGTGTGATTATGGTGAATGACAGCAACAGAAATATTAGTTTGGCCTCAATGCATTTTAAATGCAGTTTTAGAAACTTGTTTCCAGAACAATGTTACCGAATTAATTGGGAAACAACTCATACTTCAAGGAGGTCTTGAAAGTTTGCAGATGTGGATGACTTAAATTTGTCAATTAAAATAAGGAAAGTCATAAGACTTTTAGTATACAAGGTGTTTGGGAAGAAATTCTAAGATTACAGCAATCACTAGAGATCACTACGGCGTGGAATGGTTTTGGTTGCAGTGTCTCCTATGTGTTGAAGCATGATGCAGTATTAGCCTATGACATATCAGATATACTGCTCTTCAGCTACTAATATGTTTGGCTTCTTATCCCTTTGCAGCCTATTGGTGCTTTGAACCCAAAGAGAGCAGTCTTCTATGCAGAAAGGTATGAGACATGGGAAGATGATCAGACTCCACCTTATCATTACAACACCCACTACTCTACATCTACTTCTACATTGGCATGGCTTGTTCGTATTGTAAGTATTTCTGCATTCTGATTTTCATGAATATTTTTAGCTACAGCATCTCTTTTGTCACTGACCACTATTATTTTTTTTTTTAATCAAAGTACCGTTCTATCAAAATCTTGTTCTTCCCTGCCTTAAATTCTCAGAAGTTCTCTAGTTATACTGTGCATACTCATTTACAGGGGATCAGGAGATCAGGGGATCCTTCCTACCCAAACAATCTCAAATATCTAGAGAGGCAGAACTGTAGTGGTATAAGGACGTATGTGATGAGGAAAATCATCTAAAACTAAATCTGTCTAAAAACAAGTCTCTAAAAAATAGAGAAGGCTGATGCTACTCATATATTCATTTATTATTTTCACTTAGAGACAGATATATAAAACATTAAAGAAAAAAACTTTTGTAAAAACCAGGTGAAGCTGTGTCAAATTGAGAGGGGAATTGTAGAACCAGTTTTATATTAAAGCAGTATGGAGTAATTTTTTATGCAAATGAACTATGCTTCTCAATGAATTAATAACTTGCAGCTTTCAGAAATGTGAAAGTATAGATTCTAACTTCAAACTGCTATTTCAGTTCTGGAAACCTCATGCTTCAATCCCATCAAAATCAGATCCAGGGAAGGGGGCCACACTTCAAAGATAGAATGAATCTGAATTCAGTTTATGTGTTAGCATAATGAATTACAGTAAAAGGAGTGTTGATGAGAAACTTAAGGTTTCACAGAGAAACTTGGATTAATGTAAAATTGAGCCACTATGTAATTACTGAACTTGAACTGCAGCTTGTCAATAAAAACCTGTTGTGTGAGGTGTATTCTAAGCAAGTTTTGCACATAATCAAGCAAAGCAGAGCTACACAAACTTGACACATGAATTTTCACTCATCTGAGCTTCCCTTGCACATGTCCTGTTTTTCTGCTCAGAAGGGAAGAATTCATGTGTTTCTGAGTTCAGGATATATTTCTTCTTATACTGTGGGAAACTAAACATTGATTACACTCCTGTGTGGGGTGATCACTGTACTCCTTTTAAATGTTGCTAAATCAGTCTTGTACTGTGAATAAATTTTATGGTTCACATGTGTTTCTTTTATTTTTTGCATCAAAGTATATTAAAACCAGTGTTTTTATTTGCATGTTTGTCTATTAATTTTGGCTGCTATTCAGCAAAAGATCCCCGCTTGCTAGCCAGCAAATTCTTAGGTCTGGAAGTCTGCTTACAGCCTGAATGTACAACACACCAAGGAGCATTCATTTCCTGTATTAGGCTAATGCTGTGTCACTTTTACTGCTGTTGTTTATGTCATACTGTAGGTGTTCTTGCTCTCTTCTGCCCTAAAAGACTGAGAGAACAAGGTCTCTGCTTTGGTGGCGTTGCAGTATAGACCCAACGTGTTTGTAACAGCAAATAATATATGTGAGAATAGAAAGAAGAAAAGAAAATATTTAAGGAAATTATTTAAATAGAAGTGACCAGGAAAAAAAAGCAATCACTAGTGGGACGAGACAACAGAAGTGAGAGGGAGACAGGCGTGGGGAAAGTTTAAAGCTCAGAGAAGGGAAAAAGGAAATAAGGTGATGAGATTGGATAAGGCTGCATACAGAAACCCAAAATAAAGATTTGAAAATAAGTGTGTATAGACATAGGAAAAGTTTATATGGGGATTATAAAGTCATACTGTTCCTGAGAGAGACATTTTTGGCTACAAAATAAAGAATGAAAAATTCTAAGGGAGATGATTATGCCAGTGAAATTGGTAGATAAGGCTAAGTCAGATTTCTGGAAGTTAAAGTAGGATTTCTTGCTCATGAATTTTTTTGGCTAGTGTTTTAGTATGAGTTTGTGAAGACGACTGCATAGGAAGATTGTAGAAAATGTAAATTACAGTCTAGTCCAGGAAGAGGTGGCAATAAGAGATGTAGAGATTCAGACAGAAAAATACTTTCAGTGTTTTAAGAGACTGAAGAAGATTCATGGGAAAAGGTATGTTACAGTAGAGCTTTTGGTAGAAAGTCACAACAGAGTGAGAGAGTTAGAAAGAAAAATCATGGGAGAAGACTCTGCAGACCAAAGACTAACAGAAAAAAAGAATGAAAAGAGAGAGAAATTAAGAGAAAACAACTGAGCAAGCAAGCAAACGACCCAATAGCTATGACAGAAAGTACAATGGGAATGAGACAGCTTAGACAGAAGCAGAACAAAACAGCACTGAGCAATGGGGATCCGGAGGGAGAAACTACATGCCTAGACCTTTATACTGGAGGAAACAGAAGTTGCACTAGGAGAGGAAGTTTTGGCCACCCCGAAGTGTGTATATAGAGAGTTCTGTAACTGCCACAAAACCTAAAAAATTTTTTTGAATCTTGCTTTTTGGCTTTGACAGATGCAATCTGGTTCCTGTCAGTTCTCTTTCAAAACATTGCTTGTAATATCATATTTCTGAGTCAGTTATGTGGTAATCTGCTCCCTACTGATTTATATTTCCCTCTGTTGCTTTCCTTTATCTGACAAATCAGGCTACTTTTATAAAAGACACTTAATGCCTTAGCCTCAGTTTTGCCCTTTTTAATACATTTTTATGTCACCAATCTTTGCCTCCATTTTGTCATTAATAAAGTTTTCACTGGTAGTACAGTTTTCTCTTGAGTTCTGTTGTGTACTAAGAGTGTCCAGTAAAAATCCATCTTTAAAAGTGACCTATTTCATAAGGTTTTCAGAAACACAACGGTGGATTAGTATATAATGTATTGAAGCTACTGATAATTACATAATCATTTTAATATTAACTTTTGTTCTTCTTCTGCCTTTCATTGTGCTTAATAAAATAGGGTGTAATCCTTACTGAAGCTACGAGCTATTAGTGCATCTGCAAATTGTATTGTATTTCCTCTGAGCTAGCTGTACAAGTCTAGGTATGCTCCAATTCTTTTCTGTAAGAATGCTAGGAGAAAACTGAAGGCAGTTTCAGAATAAGCAATGGTTCAGCCTCACCAGGCTGATATCAGATTGGTTATGCTCATTTTTGAGGGTTACGGAGCTGACCCTGAAACTCTCACAAACCGAGATAATGCCTACACCCTCTTTCTGTAGAGCCCCTTCCCCACACATATGTGCATGCCCACATTCCTATTGGAATTGAAATTATAACTCATAATTTACCCATACATGTTTATTTGAACTAATCCATTGTAGATTTCAGAACACTACATCATGCTAGAGTTCTGAAAATTCAAGAATCAATCCTCTAACTAGTTTCATAAGAAATGAACTGACCCACAGGCTAGAAATATTTAATTTTCTAATTATAAATGAATCTTGCATGATCTCCAGAAATGTTAGGTTTATATCCAGAACCAATTGGTTCTTGAAAGTGATCAGCTTTCTTTCTAAATTGAGGAGTAAATTAAAGATTAGATAGCTACATTACAGAGGTAGCTAATGAGTGTGGAAGTCTACCATATTGTTCAGTCAGGTTAATAATGATCATGAAGAATAACAGAGAAACACCAGGATTTATGTAATATTACCTTCCCCTCCTTTGAGGTGTTGCTGAAATCAAATCATGGTTAAATATTTTTGCACATCACACTTCTTTAGGTCTAAAACCTACTTATTCTGTAGGAGCCAACATAACCCACGAGTTTGCCCCAGCAAACAGAATAAAAGTTACTCTGGAAAAGGATTCACTGCTCTGTTGACATAATTTCATTTTTGTATAAATGAAATTAAGTATTCATTGTTTATAGCTAGGTGACCTTACCACCTGGTGCAAGTGTAATTTTTTTCATGTACTTTCCATCTGGACCAGTAAATATTTATGTTGCAAAAGGCAGAGTAGTTTAAACCAAGAATGCTACATCAGAATGCTATACACTCCAGTGACTGGAAAGTCAGTCTGAAAAGTAGACAGAAGAATTAATTCTGGCTTGAATCATGTAGAAAGTGAATATGAGCATTGTTTTCAGATTTTTAGGTGAAAGAGGACAGAGTTATGGTGCAATTGGATGATCTCAGTAGTTGCTGTTGAAGAAGTTATGTTCGTGTGAATCGGTTACATCTTCACTGAAACAGAGACCAGTGTTAGAGAGCCTAAATCTCTAATGTGGTAGTCAGGAAGATTGTAGAGAACAATTGGTTTCCAGTTTGTTACAATGGCTTAGTACCTTTATGAAGTAGAAGAAATTCAGGATTTATTATGAGTCATGTCTCATTCTAAAAAAAACCAAACAGTTTTTATTGAGATTCAAAAGTAGGGAGGATTTGAAATCCCCTTGTAAACAGAAGGGTATCTGAGTTTCCTTTCTGGTAGAGCTAAGCAGAACCGTCACAGATATATCAGACAAAAAACTTATGCCACTGACAAAACCCCAAATATCCTCTTTTTCTCCTCTTACAAATGGCTGAAAAGACATTTTCATTTGACATAAGATGTCTTAGAATGACACATCCCTTTCTCCTCCCTCCCCTACTCCCACCATAAGTGATTCAAATAGGACTAGGCACTGTTAAAAGGGGATGGAGGGAGAGAAGAGCTGTTGAATGGAAAAATTCCTTGTTCCCACAGCTCAAGCTTGTATTCATTGTAATCAAGTACCCCATGAATTTCTCTTCTTGTTGGCAGTGAACAAGGCGTGAATTTTATTCAGAATATTAGGAACAAGTGAGATGGGGTTATAATGAAAACATTGTGCAGCTTTATAGCTTTCACAGCAACAAAACCTTTACATGAAATGACAGTAATCGGTATCATAGAATAACAGAATTTAAATGAGTGTATTGAATACAGATATGAATTGTATTTATATAATATAAGCACTTGACTTTGCAGAGAATAAAAATTACCTTAAAATTATGTGAGAGGTCTGAGATAAAGCAAGTGAAAGCTCTGAATTTCTGCAAAGGATTAAAAAATCCAAAAAGATAGGCACAACAGGTCATAGCAGGATAGCATAATGGGGCACCCTGTAGTGCTCAGCTATTAAAAGTTTAATCCTTGATTATGAATTTTATTGCTTTTGTGTATTTGTCTCAGATGCTTAAAATAATGTTGTCATGGAATTCTGGATTAATATTTTTACATAATTTATTATAATTTTATAGGTTTTCTGGTTTCTGATTTATTTTTTTTTTAATCCATCAAATGCTTCTGACTTCAGAACCTCGGCAGTGGCCCACAGTCTGCTCCACAGTGATATTCACAACAAATTACACATGTCTTATAAAGAAAAAATGTAATAGATAGGTGTTAGTAGAAGACCGAATAATTTGTGCTCAGATCAACAACATATGAAATTTTTCAGTATGGCTAAGCTCAAAAAGTAGCAAAATTTGCAGAGATTGCTATTGCAAATATATACAGAATTTGGTGGGAGGAATTCTGTTAAAACAAAAATAATTCTAATGTTAAAAGAATTTACATAAAATTAACATTAAAATTATAATATTAATAGAATTGTAGAATAAAAGAATATAATCCAGTTACTGCCTATATTGTTTTCTGTTTGCTAGCTCTGGGTCTGAATCATACACATTTTAACTTATATTTTACACTTTTGCTATATGGATCACTGTAAAACCTAGACACATAAAAACTTAATTTCTTTTCTTTCAGTATGTCAGTACTTTTATTCTACTCACCAAGTTGAGCTACTGTTAAATTTTAATATTTTGTCCAAATTCTAAACCCTTACTTATCAGGCAATATTCACTCAATATTCACCTGTGCAGTGGGGATTAGGGTTCTCCAACAAGAAATAATGTGATGATGTTGTATTTGATTTCATTATTTTTAATTTAACGTGTTAAGATTCTCTGATGGGAATAAATGCACTGATGAAAGTATATTTCTTACATTGTTACCTATTCTTTTGAATGTATAATTTTAAAATAAGTCACCTATGTTTCATGAGGAAAAAAAACCCAAAAAACTCACCATTCAATTAGGAGTAGAATGTCATGCATTATTGTGATAAAAATGATTCTATATTTACACTACAGACAGTGAAAGTTAAGTTACAGTCCCTAGCTAAAAAAAAAATAAAATAAAATAATAAAAAAAGAGAAATCTTTCTTTGAATATAAACAATTCCCTTAAGCTACTTAAGCTACTGGTATACCTTAATGAGAATAAGAGAGAGATCTCATGCTTTCTCATTTAAAGACAGAACTTCAGAGTTTTTCTCTTCTTCAAAAGAAAATATCCTGTCAATTCTTGTATATGATGGAAAAGATTAATTGCAAAGATATGCAGAGAAAAGATTAGAGAAACTATGGTCTCTGGAAGTTTGAATAACCTCTTATATTTTCCTCCTCTTCTTGGATTCTTTCACTACCTTTGCATCCATGCTTTTCTTATGTGTATTTTAATTGCTCTTAAATGGTGTGGAAAATTAATTACTTCAATCCTCTTTAAACTTGTGTAATTTAAACATGATGTATATAATATGACATAATTCCATCAAAGTTTTGTTATGAATGGCAGAGTTCTCTGTTCAAAAGTTTCAGAAAATGAAATAGAAGATAAAGTTCAAATAGTAAGGTGGATAATACTGTAATAAGTAGCATTATGATCTGGTGATTACGAACTGCTTTGACTAACAAAATTCTTGAATTATCAGGACATGAAAGGATATAAATTTAGGTATGAATTTAATGAAAGGGACACTTTTTAAAACATTCCCCATTAGACTCTGACGAAGAGGAAGAAGTAGATGGCATACCATCTTACTAGGAGTAAACAAAGCATGGTAATATAAATAACGCAGAGGGTGTTTATGATGGTTACAGTGAAGTAGGCACCCATTTTGAACTGGAACTAAGCTGCATAGGTCTGCCACTGATGGATAATCAGTTTTATGGAAGAGTGAATACATAAAATAACCTTTTCTGCCAGAACTCAAGATTTGTGTGTGCAAAATGTGTTAGTGCCAATAAATACACTAAAATCTCAGTACAGATATAACTATGAGGTGCCTTTCTGAAGGATTTTGATCTGCAAAAGTCATTTGGAATTTGTTAGAAAACTGCTGCATTATTTTTTCTATTTTCTTAATCTGTCTTCATTTCATTGACTACAGGAGCCCTTTACAACATTCTTTCTAAATGCAAATGATGGCAAATTTGACCACCCAGATCGAACCTTCTCTTCAGTAGCCAGGTCTTGGAGGAACAGCCAAAGAGATACCTCCGATGTGAAGGTAACACACATACTAAACAAACTGATAAATGCATATTCTCATTTATGGTATTTCATTTTATGTAGGGACAAAGAGGGGTTTATATTTCATATCTGTATATTCAGTACACTAGGTATAGTTTAAATTAAAGGTAGATGTTACTAAAGATTATTGTTCTAACAGAAACAATCAAAGATTCTTTGAAGTTGAGTGGACAAAAGGTGTTTTGGTTTTAGAGAAAAACAACCTAACTGATCTAATTTAGATCAGATAATCAGGAGATGGAGAAAAGCCCAATAAATTGTTCTTTCCTGCTGTTAACTCAATATTTGGCCCACTCCATAAAACACAGCAGGA